ATATATATGTATTCATTCACTGGAAAATGGTTCATATACTCACTTGGCTTGAGTTTTGGCCAGTCAGCAAACTGTATTCTTGAGTCCTCAAAGGGTATCTTAGCAGCTGAAAACACTAAGCGGAGGATTTCACCCCTAGCTCTGAGGTCAAAATATTGCAAGCTGACTTTGCCACTGGACATCTTGATGATTCAGTCTGAGAAAGGAAATAGACATCACATTTTGAAAAAGCCGAAACGTATCCATTCAGCTTTCATCGCGTGTTTGGAACTTATACTACATTTTAAAGCATTACACATCTATTCCTCTTATATATGTATTTTCAAAGCCAGCTCACGGAGAACATCACTGCGTATAGTATGCACCGGTATTAAAGACATGTTTAGGGGGAATTTGGGGACGTTAGAAATAACTATGGTCTCGATTTAATTACGTTTTGCTGTGTTCAAAAGTAGTCAAACACACAAGGAACTGCAACCTCTGGTCTACTTTTTCCTTGAGGAAAAAAAAAAGAGTTGTAGCGTATATTATTATTATTATTATGGTATGCACCGGTATTAAGAATCAAAGGAGTGTTTCAGGTGAGAATTTGGCCGTTATAAACAAACTTTACCGCCCCCCATTGCTGGCTTCTGATCCTACTTGTCAGGGTCGATCCTGTTTGAAAGGGATAAAGCATCCCCCCCCCCCCAGAAAGACCGAGATACTCGATGAGAATATCTCCCCACTCGATTATCAAACTCGGGTCAATTGCGTGTGACAACAAAGCGCCTGGCCGAGACACACCATACAGGTCACCATAGTCACAATTTAATTAGGTTTCACTGTGATCAAAATAAGTCCAACGCTCAGGATATTCCGAACTCTATCCTACCTTTTTCCAAAGGAAAGATACAATTAGTACAAACTGGGCTTGCATAGTTCAAGTAGCAAATTAAAATACTACTTTCTACTTTCGTATGCGGGACTGAATAGGGGAAAGGTAAACAAGCACTCTCGCGGAATGCTAGGGTATACAATTCTCCTTGAGGCTGAGTTGATAGCGGAGGTGATCTTAAATAAATTAAACGAAAATTTAAGGGGACCAAAGCAGAGTGGGAGAATAACCTGTGAAGTTACCCGTGGACCCCCCCCCCCCCCCCTTTCCTCTTTTTTCCCTCAAGAGCCGATGGGGAAATATTACTTCTCATTGAGAGGAAATAAAAATACCAGCACAAGAGTAAAGGTCAAGATCGCAATGTGCAAAAACGAAACACTTTCAATCGTTCTTGTCGTTAATAGAGAGATTCAAACGAAAACGCTTAGATCTATATTATGTATGTAGGAGCAGATTAAAAACTGACAGGTTAATAGATTTAATGTGGACCTCGCAATTAAACATTTGTGAAGCGTGCTGACAAAATGAGTTACTTCTCAGATTTTAGACCGATGGAAATAGAAACATGAAATTTATAGGTTGAAGTTTTATAATTTATCAGTATGAAATGACAAAAGACATGTTAAACTTGAAGAGAATGGCATTGGTTTAGAGTCTACAAATATGACCCTTGTGTTGATTTTTGGCTGACATCTCCATTCATGGATTGCGAGAAGTAACTCATTTTGTTAGCATGCCTCACATTTATTATTGATAATAGGTTGGTCAGAGGTTATCACTTGGGCTTGGCGGTTTGCTAGGTTAGTTTGATCAGACGTGCTCGGAAAAAAATAATATCGTTGATCAGTAGGATTGAAAGATAGCCTAGATCTAGTATAATTTCAGAGCCAATCCACTTGACAATCTACCTGACTGACCACAGTATACGTGCGTTTTGTCAGTGGGTTAGTGTTAGGGTTCAGCTTAGGGTTGTAGTTTGGGTTAGAGCAAGGGTTAAGGGTAGAGATAGAGTTAAGGCTGGGGCCGACTAATAGACCGTGAAATAGAATGTAGATTGTCAGAGTGCTCCAGTGGTAAACCGTCCAGTAATTCAGGAACATAGCGGTAGACTGTCAAATGGACTAACACACTAATTATTGTATTGAAACAAGATAGCAGAGATTAAAAACTTAATGCAGTCGAGAACGAGCTCCCTATTTAATACCGGACAAATCTGCGAAGGGATAATACAAACAACTTGAGAGCTTTTACCCATACTACATGAGCAGTAGCCTACAAAATGCTCATTACAAGAGCTCTGGCAGTTAACTTGGGGTTAAGAACGTTAACAATTGAAAAAACAAAAAACAAACCAATATCAGAGTTGTAACTTAATAAAGTAAAATCTGCCTCGCTCTCTACTTCAGACCGGGTTGCTAGAATTATTCACATATCGTATTTCTGAGAGCGAGACAATGTTTAATTTTTTTATTTCAAAATTAAAAAAAAATAATATCTTTTTTTTTAAAAACCCCAAAACAATAACAAAGAAAAATAAACTAAGCAAAAAACAAAACAAACAACAACAACAACAACAACAACAACAACAAAAACCTCGCTAAAATCAACCATCAATTTGCAGTTCTTGGTACAAAGGTTCTTAGAGAAAATCTATCTAGACTGAGAACATTTTCTTTTTTTCTCCAGTTTACAGAGACTCAGTAGGAAAAAATGGGATATAATGAAAGTTGCTTGTCTGCCAGAAAGAAGACGGTTTTATTTTTGTTTCTAAAGATAACATTAATCTTGAGATGGTAAGTTTATCACGATTATTCTTTTCAACAATTTGCTTTGAGAGAAGTTCACGAAAAAGAGGCAACGAAAAAAAAATGCCTACAGCAAACAGATAAGCGCGTCCCAGGGAACTTACCAAAGGTACGGACGATAAAACTTAGTTGTGAATCCTAACGGCTCTTTCTCTTCCAGGGCTAAAAACAAGGACGAACGAGCTCCACCTCACTATATATAGCCCACGACGACACCAACGGATGAACCTTGGCCTACTTGTACAACTTGGAAGAGTTAAGCAAATAACTGAGTTTGATTATGACTTTGCAGAATAATAATCGCTCACGCATGGGTTCTTCTGATTATGCCCGCATGCGCATTCAAAGATTTGCCATCGAAAGTTTAACATTGGAAAGATTGTGCTTTGAAAAAAAGATGCAAAGGAACGGAACGACCCAGCAGCGTAGGTCACTCTGAGAGTAGATCGACGGAGAAGTGCTGTCTGAACGAAAATGCTGCGTCATTGAAAGAACTTAAAAATAGATATGAACGTTTCACAAGGCTGATTCGCCATCACCCAGAACGAACACTCTAGATCAGGGTTATCAAAGTAGCCGTATTGAGTATTGAGGCTAGAAAAACGCTATTTTGCTGCCCTTACTTGGCTTTTAGATTAAGGCTTACTGTTAGTGTGACCTGCATGTTTATCTCACGTTTACTTTTTGGCCGCGTATTGACACTAGATTTAAAAACAAAATTGCTATGCAAAAAATTGCGATGTCAAAAAGATTGCTAGATCTATTAAGAAATTTATTAGGTAATTATTCTTGCACTATCTAAATACTTCAAGTCACTGTTTAATGGATATGTTATACGGACCAGGTTTGTGAAGACTTTTCGCCGAGCGCCCCCCCCCCTTTTTTTTTTTCCACCCCGGGTAATCTGAGATTGTGACCCCTGCTCTATAGAAGAAGCAAATCTTACGTTTTTATTATGTTGCATGCATGTGCCGTCTTTCATCTTGAAACAGCTTCATCCAGTAAATGTTTTTCTCCCAAGCAAGATTGTTTTTTGTTTTTTTTTAGCGGGGGGATAAGGGTGTGCATCTATCTCTGAATGCGAAATATTAACTTTTATTGATGAGCGTTAACTCGATCCCTGTTTTTTCAGCAATTCTTAATTAAATAAATTCATACGTTAACCGTTTCACCATTAAGAAGATAGGTTTCAAGCAACAAGCTTGTATTCTGCTCCAGTAAGCATGTTTAGCAAAAGTGGGAAAATTTGACCTATGGGGATACAGTTGAAATAGGCCTACGGCAAGCATAATCATATGTTTGTGATAAACGAGAAAACGATGGGGAAAACACCAACAACCACCCCAACCCCCTAAATAAAACAAAAACAAAAGCAAAAGAAACCAACACAAACACACACACACACACACA